TAATTGTTCTTTAATAATTTATTGATTTATTTTATCAAATTAATTTCATTGTATTTAGTAATAAATCTGGTTTTTAAAACTAAATTTTTGTTTCAATCAATTATAATATTTTATTAGACATATTCAATTCAATCCAAATTTTTTGAAATCCAGCATGTTAATATCATTCTTTGATTATGATACTAATTTAATACCTATCTTAAGATAAGTATGTTAAGTCAAACTTTTAGATTTTGAATCAATTTACTAACTCTAGAAGATTTATTCAAAATTCGAAGAAACTTTAATATAATTTCCATTCAACAATGAATTAATATTAATTATTAAATTTTTAAAACAGAAAGTGAATTTTAAAGAAATGTATATAAAAATTAAGAAAGGTGTTAAATAATTCGATCTCTTTGGAGTTGAGTTAAATTTAAATATGAAATAAAAAGACAAATACACAACAGCATGTGGTGGATTATCATCTATTATCATGATTTTCCTTTTAAGTTTCATTTTTATTAACAGACTCATAAGCATAATAACTAAATCTGAATATACAGTATTTTACAATATCTAGTCTTTTAGATTAAAGTTCAAACAATATAGAGTGCAAATCCAAATTTTACTACCATGAATGTCTAAAATTTTATGCTTGCGATAAAGCTTGAAGATCCTCTTAAAAACTATTATAATAATTCTTAGAAAAATCTCTTTTCGATATAACTACATCAGTATATATAAAAAACCTCAGGAGATGGTTCAAAAAGTAGAGAATAATTAAAGGAATTCAAATTAGAACAATGTACTGTTAAACACTTTCAAAATATCGATTTTCAATAAAATGCATACTTAGAAAAATAACTCTAATATTATGTATGCTTGCCTTTAAGCTTTGAACTTTAGTTGCAAGGAGGTTATAATACGGAAACCTTATTATATCCAAAATTGCTAATTTAAATCTGTAAGGACGATGTTAATTGTTATACAGAAGAAGAAATTAAAAAAGCTTAATTAGATGAAAATACAACAATCACTCTCTCTACTCTTATTAAATCGGCTTTATTTGTCTCGAATTATACAGATGATGTTTTACATTAGTACATAAACTCTGACTTTTATCTCTAGTCAAATCTATAATAATCTATATAGACAGATTTATTTTTTCAACATAACAAAGTCTAAATAGATGATAATTTATTAAGCTTAATGGCCACAACCTAGGAATAAGACTATTGGTCTTTTATTTTAAATGACAATAGATAATTTAATGTATATGAATATATTAATATACTAGAAAAAAGATGTTAATCTTACAACCTTATTTGAAATTAACTTAAGAATAAATCAATAAAATCAAATTATAACAAAGACTGCATATAGATTAGATTAATTTTTATCATATCTAGGAGGAATACTGAAATTCTTTACTGCAATATTTGGATTGTTTGCAATTAAATATAATTTACTTTCAATGAGAATTTCTTTGGCTAATATTTTATATGATTTTAATATTCCTTAATAAAGTTAAGGTAGGCTACAATTTTCATATGATAGATTGTTGAATTTTATATAATATAAAATAAATAGAGTTGATGAATTACTTGATAAACTAAAAACATATACTTTTTAAGTGATTAAATTAAGTCATATTACAAGAATGTGGAGCAACTTTTCATCAAGTTAGAAAATATAAAGATAATAGTAATCTCAAGAATAAGCAGAAGTAACAGAACAAAAAATAACATAACATGATATTTATTAATTTACTAAAAAATTAATGGAGTATAAAGAAAATTTTATGGAAAATTTAATTTAAAAAATTCTAGATACTAGAAATTAATTAAAATTAGATTTAAATTTTTATGTTTATATTCTTTTATGTTGCTCTTGTTTTAAGAAAATTTGGATGACAAGATAGCTCTTAATTCAATGTGATTAAATGATTAAAAGGGATTTAGATATAATTACAATATTAAGTAAAATCCAATAAATAGATAAATTAAAAAAAACGCTACTTGATTAAAATTAAATTTCAGTTTTCAATTACACTCCTAAACCTGTTGTTTTTATAGATAAATAATATCAGATTATAACTGAAGATTAATCTAGACCCAATAATTTAATCATTCAAGCCAACAAATAAAAGAGAGCAAGAGTAATCAATAAAAGAATAAGATTTAATACAACTAAAAAATTCTTAAAAATTTATGACTCTTATCTCAAATTAAAAGAAAATAAAAACGAAATAAATTACAGGCTTACCTAAATGCTTGGTCCTACTTTAGAATTGATGTTCTAAAAGTACCATGAAATTTAACTTGCAGCTTAAATAAAAGAAGATTTAAACAAAACATAGTTAAATATTTAATAGCAATCTAAAATTTCAGAATAATCAATAGCAGATAATAATTAAAAAGTAGATTAAAAGATTTAAATTTATCAATATATAAAACCTAAAATGTTAGAGGATGATGGGGAAGAAATAGAGTATGGTTGACCTATAAGATTCAATAATTTTTATTCCTTATTTTTCATTTTATAATATTATTCATTATTTCAATTAACAAATGCCACCTAAAAAGAAAAAATCTAAAAAGTCAAAAAAATCAAAGAAGAAGGAAGAATATCTACCTTCTATATTCAATATTCCTTAGTATGAAAATCCAGATATTGTTACTCCTAAAGTAGACTTAATAATAAAGTTGGTACATCCAGTAACAGAACTGTTCACTTTGAAAATCAGAGTATTCTAAGTTTCATAATAAGGTGCCTATAACAACAAGAGTTGAATAAATTCATGAAGAAATTTCTAAAATGCATTAAGGTGCTATTTCTGGAATATCTGTTTGCCGTGATAGATTTAGTCCTGAAGATGTAAATAATAATTTTATCTAAGGTTTTGGATCCAAAAAAGACTCTCGAATAATGTGGCATCTTTGATGGAGAAATTAAGTTACTGTATGATTACAAACCTATTGTTGGTCCTCTTTTAAAATGATTATTAGAGTAATATAATCAAAAATAAATTTTCATTGTATTAGTAATATATATATTTTACTATATTGGATTTAATTACAATAAAAAATAGAAACTGTTTAGCAATATAATTAAATATTTTGTATAATTTATCAATTTTATTCTTATTAGGCTGCTTATAACTAAAATTATGATATTTTCTTAATTACTTCTTTTTTTAATTCAGCAACTTCTCTCTTTAATCTAATGTTTTCATCTTTTAATTTCTCATATTCTAATTTCAATTTGTCGACATCAATATCAACTGGAGATCCTAAATACTTTTTTACATAACTAGGTATAATTTTATAGCTTACTCTATGGCATTATTAGGTTTTTCGGGTTCTTCATATAATCCAACTAAGACTCTTGTCAATTGATCAATTACACCTGCCTTTTCTAAATACTTTCTAAATTCTTCTTTTTTTGAATCAGTTGTCTAATTTATATTGTTTTGAATACTTAAAAGCTCATCGATTTGAATTAAATAATAAAAAAATAAATAATATTTAATTTTTTGCATAACATTCATTCTACATATTATAATCTGAAAGTGTATTTTAATCAAATATGATAAAGATTTGTACTTGCTTCTGATGATTTTTTAAGATAATTTTTTTATTTAAGACAAGCATATAAAGATATATTTATTTATTAAATTTATGAGATTATCATCATAAGAAGTAGAAATGTAATATGATTAAGAATTTGAAAGGTTCTCTAGGAAGGATAATATAAAAAAGGCTTAATTGATATAAGATATTTAAAATAACTAATTTTACAACATTTTATGTGTCTTTAAATTGATATTTAATTTTTATAATCATCAAAATTTATTAATCTAATAGTTTCTTTTTGTTAAGTAAAAAATACTAAAGAATATGTATTTAATTCCATCAATATATATTAAAACGAGAGTAAATTTTTAATAGCCATTTGGAATTAAAAATTATTTGCTCATTATTTTTTCATTAAAATTTAACAGTATAAGCATAATTGGAGAAAACATGACTATCTCTATTGTTTTTAATATAAAACTTGTAACTATATATGTTTTTACTCCATTTTTTAGTGATTTTAACTAAAAATATGATAATTCATTAGGGGTTAGTAAATAAATTACAAGTTATTTGAGATTAAATTGAGATGATTCATTCCTCCAATCATACCATTCCTTTGATGCTTCTTCAATCATATTTTTATTAGTAAAATTTTATCGAAATAATACAATTATCATTAAAATTGGTTGGTTTCTATACAAGTGCAATTTCCTAAACAACATTCTTATTAAACTTAAAAAAAAGTAAAATCTTGGTATTATAATAAGATAATATAACAGAATCTTACCATCACTTTCTTTATCAACTAATAGAAGAAATAAATATATATAAGAATTTAGTCTGATCAAACTATCAATTAAGATTGAAATCAACATAAAAAATTCTAATTATCTATTAATTTTCATTTCTCTCAATAAAATTATTGATAATTCTAATTCAACTTTGTAACTTTATTTTGGTTTATTTAGCTTATGTTGAATATCAAATATACGCTATATTCTATTTGATTTAATCATCTAATTTTCAACTATCAGTTTTTCAGTATAAGCCTCATCTATTAATGGCTATTCTTCTTTTTAGAGAAGGGGAGATTCAGAAAACGAGGCAATTGGAATCATTTCATGATAGCAATGAAACAGTGATTCTTCCATAAGAATTATAAATTATTTAATTAATAAAAATATTTGAATAATATAATTAGCATATTATTAAAATCAAACATTTATCAAATATATCAGATAAAGATTATATAATTAATAATTAGAATAATATTTAGAAAGAATTATAAATAATTAGATTATAAAAATAAAATAGACTAATTTTTTTTAACATTTAAATTTTGTTCTATTTATCCAACCCATAATAAAATAAAATTTTTATAAAACCTTTATATGTCCTTTCTACAGTAATGTATTGAGGTCATGCTAGCGAGTTACTTCATTAAAATTAAAAATCAATCGTTGAAAAATTTAGATAATCTAGAAGTTCAACTTGACTTAGGAGCTAAAACAGAACACCAAAAAACACTTAAGGTGAATAACTTATCAAATTCCACTTGCGGCGCTCTACCTCAAAAATTTTTTACATTTTTTCTAGAATTTAATGATAAATATAACTATAAAATATTATTCTCAAATCACAAAAATAGATCTTAACTAAAATTAATTGTTGAAGCATGATTGTAGTGAGAAAGTTAATACTTTTTAATAAGGGATGGAAATGGTTAATAAACTTCATCTAAAAACCAAGTTTAAATTAATTCCTTTGTTAATTTACTAATTTGGTTAGAATCAACCTAAGAGCTAAAAGTTATGATTTTACCTTTAACATTGATTAATCAATCTTTTTGTTCGAGACTTTCCCAACAATATTTAAAATAGTTCCTACTATTAAGAAAGGATCTCCATTGGCAAATCCATAGCTAAATGAAGCCAATTATATCAGATATCAACTAATTAAATTTATATAATCAACCTAATTTAATCATCTACTTCAGCTATATGTTCAAATATTCGAAGTGGAGATATGAATGATAGATTAAAATTTATATTTTACAGTATCTAACCTTCTGCCTTCAAAATATCTTCTTTGCTATAAACCTCATCACACAGTTTTGATAATTAACCACTTTTTGGAACACCATTAATACATTTAAAATTTAATTTTAATATATTTTAGTTGTCTTTATTCAAAAATCTAAATTATTAATATCTAATAATATTTTAGAAGTTCTATAAAAATTTAATACATAATTAACTTTAAATTTCTAAATTTATGAGAATCAAAAAAACTCTCAAATTAATTAATAATCATTTTAAAATTCATAATGATTATATAAATAAAATTATAATATAATCAATTATTGTAAATACCCTCAAAGTTATAAATCAATTTTTTAAGTTTAGTATCATAATAAATTTTATTTACAAATTATTAATATTTTATGAAATCTCTGTTATTCTTTTAATGTAAAATTTTTTATTATATTGGTTATAATATTTACAATTATTTTAATTAGGGCTTGTTAAAAATTGTATTCTTATTTTAATGCATCTAATTTGGAAATGATTTCCCAATTAAGATACTTAAATAAAGTAGTCAAACCTGCATCACTTTGGACAACCAAAAATAACTATTACTTTTATAAATAATATAATTAGATAATACTCAATCATCAAATAACTTTCTAGAACAAGGCTCAAAACATTTTTGAATCTCTTCTAGGTTTACTTCTTCAATAGTTCTAGGATTAAATTTAGGTATATAAGATCTATCAACAAATAAACTTTTTAAGCCTTCAACTAGATCAGGTCTCATAACAACTTTATCTAAAATAGATTATTCCATTTTTAGATTATCTTTAAGTGATAATTTAGAATTTTTATTTTTCATGAATGATTCATAAAAAGCATAAACAGTAAAAGAACTATTTTTTCTAATAAGAGCAGCTTATTGTGGAAATTGTGCATCCATAGCAGACATAATGGAGGGCAAAGATTATAAACTTAATACATTTCCAAATTATTTAGGAACATTAAATTCTGTTTTATTTTTTTTACAATATCTTTGTAGTAAGAACTCTTCAATAGATTCTTTATCTCTTAAAAAATGTGCATGTTCAAATTCCTCTTCTATTTCAGGTAAGCATGAACTTTCAATAAGAAAGTCTGCAATACCTAAATGAGCCATTTTTATGCCATCAATTTATTCCCCACTCATACCTAAATATAATCCAAAATTTTATGGCATTTTACTAAAATATAAACCACAACCTCCATCTGGTACTATACCAACTTTACATTCTGGCATAGCAAAAATAGTATTCTCTGTTGCAATCCTGAAATGAGAATGAATTCCGAATCCAGCACCTATACCCATAGTATATCCATTCATAATTGTTAATAAAATGCTCTTAGTTGAGCTCATAGCATAAACTGCTTTTTTAGCTTCGTCACCTAAGTGACCAACTTTAGATACATTTGATTCATCATTTTTTCTTTGAGATATATTAAAAACGTGTCTAATGTCATTTAATAAAATACTTTAAGTCTCCTCCAACAGAAAATGCTCTACCATTCCCTTATAATATAGTTACTATAGCATGTTCATTCCAAAGTTTGGTACTTTCAAGAATGTCTTCACACATTTCAAGATGCACAGCATTAAGTTTCTCAGGTCTATTAAAATGAGCAGTTGCCAATCCATCTTTAATTTTACTTATTAAACAATTATTGCTGGCAATATGTCTCATTTAATTATTTTTAGTTCCAAAAATAAATATTATTATATTTATGAATTTGATTGAATACCTCAATTTATCATGATATATTAAATATCAAAGAAGGGAATGTAAATGAAAGCCTTAAAGTGATAAAATTCTTATTTAAAAAGATAAAATTGTTTCAGATTTGTTTTATATGATGAATTAAATAAAAATAAAAGAATAGATATAAATCTAATAGAATACTATTTATACATTCAATTTTATTAATTAAAATGTGATTTCAAGTTTATTAAATAGAATTACTAATTGTAAGATCAATAATAATTGAATAAATATAAATGCAAGAATTATAATATTTTAATGGAAATCATTTATAATTCTTTTAACGATAATTTAACCGAGATAATAATCAAAAATAATTGATTACTGCTTTTAATAAATCTTAATTAATTATATTAGGCAAGATAAATGTTTATGAATAATTTATGATTGAGATATTATATTTCAACATCAAAGGATTAAGAAATACACCTTCAATTCTGTTCTGATTAATACTATAACTAATTAATTAATAAGACTTTTTAAAATTAAACTTTTCATAATGAGTAATTTTTTAAATATTCCATCTGATTAGGATTAATTTCTATATTTATGATGAAGATAATGAGAGGTATTTATGGTCTTATGTAATTTAGTAAAAAAATTATAAGAAATGCATACACTATACAATTAGTTTGAATTATTTGTACCAATTTGAAATTAGTTTTAATGCAGAAAATGGAAATGATGTTCATGAAGCAGTGACTATGAAACTTGTATAAGGAATGATGGATTATAAGTTAAATATGGTTAGGTATAGCTGCATATGAACATTTATTTCATCCTCCTTATATTAAGTGGATGAGTTTACTCTAAGATATAGCAAATGCTGTTAGTTTTTATTGCATTAGAAATATATTCTAAGAAGAGATTGGAAAACAATTGAAGAGTTTTTTGATGAATCTGATTTAATTCCTATTGAATCTCCTAGAATATCTTAGGTTCACAAAGCAAAATTAAAGAATTGAGATATTGTTGTTGTAAAAGTTTAAAAACCAAACATTAAGAAATAATCTTCTAATTGTAACAAATTTTCTTTGGAGTATTGTAATATATATTTGAGATGCCTATCTTATAATATTAAGAGCAAATTCAATCTAAATTATATAAAGAAATTGATTTTAGAATTGAATATTAATATGAAGAATTATGTAGAAGAAGAGCATTATAAATAATAGGAAGAAAAGTTATTCACATTCCTAAATATTATAAAGAATTGAATACATAAAGAATACTAATTTCAAAGTGGATTGAAGGAATTACAATATCCCATCAAGATAAAATTAAAAAGCTAGGCTTTAATACAAAATAACTTATGAATAATGTAATATGTTAAGTTACTAAAGAAGATGATGTTAAGAAATTATAATTAAAAATGAAAGAAGAAATCAAAGAGATGATGAAATAGACTGATTTGTTTCCAAAGGATTTAATATTCGTCAACAGAAATATGAATCTGTTTAGATCTTTCAATAAAAGATGTGGCAGCGCTATAAACAAAATCAATATTATGGTGAGATATACCTAAAAAGGCACTCAATAATTAAATGAATTACTTTAAACTTAATAGTACAATAAAAAACTTCTTTCAAGTTTATGCTTGAACTCAGATAATGTGTAGTTGGATTTATGTATGTATTTCTCTCGATCGGATAAAAACAGAGAAACTATCAAAAAGTGGAAGACATCCTAGAACAATAGTAAAAGGAATGATTCAAAGGAATTCATGATTTATATGGTTTTAAAACTCCTGATGATAAGACCTTTGATGCTTGATTTTCTGTATATGCTTATTTATATTCAAATTAAATTCGATGCTTCTGTTGATTACTAATCCAAATCATCTACGAATATCACTTTTTTACTGTGTTTCTATTACTTTTCCACCTTCGTTCCTGATACTTTTATACTCTAAGCATTTTTTATTGTGTTTTCATAAGTTTATTGTAATATCTATAAATCTTCATGACTCATGGTCTTTATTAATTCAGCATACCCAAACATTATCTTTTTTTTCATTCGCTCTTATAATGTTCCAAACTAATCTCTTTTATTTCCTTATTTTTTAAAAAAGCATAGTTTACAAACTCCAAATAATACGAATAAAGGAATAATTAATAAGAAATAGAGAGTAAAAGACATATCAATTCAAATATAATAATTATTATTTATAAATAACTATTACATAGAATGACATTAAATATATTATAATATATAATTTAATAAATATTTTGGATTATAATTATTTTTTCATTCATTAAAAAAATTAATTTTTTAATCATTCAAAGTTTTTGGTTTTGTTCTTAAATGAACTTTAGCATTTTATTAATTCTCCTTTTCATCATTGTTAGGATGAGGTGAGACATAGTCACTTAACAATTTATCAGAACCTCCAAAATCCTATTAGTGTGCTTCTTCTAAATATTTATGATGAGATTAAAGAGATTGAATTTCATAATACTTATCAAAAATTTATACCATGGCTGGTCCCATCAAATAGATTATCTTTGAATCTACTGGAGCATTACTCTCTTTTAATTTTACATAAGAATTATAAATTTTCACCATTTTATTTGGTTAATGATAATTCTTATTTCTAATCAATCGATTATATTTTTTTTGATGATTTGATTTTTGTATTAATTAACTAGGCTCTCCTTCTGTATTTAGTATGATCTTTCGATTCTCTTCTATATTAATAATAGGTTTTGGAGTATAATTGAAAACTCTAATTTATTCTTTCTCCAACAATGTTTATTTTAATTTTTCTATTTATTATAATTTTTAAAGAATGTCTACAATATCTAAATCCTATTAAATAACAGTTTCACATTATGATAGCATTTTTCTTGTCATTTATATCTTTTCTATACATGTACAACATAGTAATTAATAGAAAATAAAGTTAACACCCAATTTTAATTTATGTTGTTAATTACATATTTCATTAAATAGATCTCTCAAAAAAGATTCTTTTATTTCTTATAAATTATTTTCTTATTTTTCTATTTGTTCTGAATTTAATTAAGATTATTCTTGAATGATAGTATTTTTCTTTTCATTTTATATATTTTGACTAGACTAATGTTTGATTGTGAACGCTTTAGTTATTTTATTCATTTAAACTACGTGAATTGTATGACTTTTTAATTTTGTTACCATTGTTCTTAAATTGAAAATAAAGTAGGATGTTTATAATTAAAAACAAAAGATTAAAATTGTAGATATTATGATAATAAATGTTAAAATGAAAATATTTAAGATTATAAAAATAATAAATGTAGAGATATAATTATGATAAATTCATATGAATTTTGTGAATAAACAAGAGATATAGAATGTAAATATGATCCATTAAATAATGCTTGTATTTATGCAAATTTAGAATAATAAGATTTAACATGTCCAAGAGGATTAAATAAATTAGCATGTATACCTAATAATTCAAATTCTAAATAATGTTAATTCTTTAATTATTGTTATGGTTAAAATTAAGATATATTAGATTGTGATATTAATGATATTGAATGTTGTTAAAAAGCATTAACTATTGAATCTTGTTTATTTTAAACTAAATTTAAATGTTAATGGAATAATTAATGTACTCATTATAATTAATAATAATCAAATACAATTTTATGTAATTAAATATAAAATGCATCAAGAAATGTATGTTATTCACTTATTGATAAATTTTGTATTTTTGATTAAATTAATTTAAAATGTTAAGAAATTATTCCATTAACATGTGATTAAGTATAAAGTTAAGAATAATGTAAAAGAATTCCTAAAATACCATGTTATTGGAATTAAAATGAATGTTAATTTAAAAATAATAATATTTCAGATTCATGTGAATATATTACTTAAATGCATGGTAATTAAAAAGCATGTATTTAAGTATAAAGATATGGATAAATGTGTGCTTTTATTGATTATTAATGTTAATCATTCATTGAAATCTAAAATTCTAATAATTGTCTTGATTACATCAATCAAAATGCATGTTTATAATAAACTNGATTGTAAAGACTATTTAAATTATTACACATGTGTAAACCTATAAACACCATTATAATATTGTTAATATATCAATAATATTTGTTATGAAAAAGATTGGTTTACATACTAAAATTAGTCATGTAAAACAATAAAAAATATCAATCATGGTAATTTTTGTTAAGTTACTACTGATATTGGTTGTAAATATGATATAAATACTAAAAATTGTGTAGAAGTAATTGATGGTGAGATTATTTAATGTTAAATTGGAAGTTTATACCATATTGGATATAATATTATAGCATGTGGTAAGAGTCAAAATTGTATATTTATTGATAAATGTCAATAATTTGATGAAAATAATTTATATTATTGTTAATAAGCTATTTCTATAGAAAATTGTAAAAATGTATTATTAGAAGGATGTTATAGAAATTCTTAATAACAATGTTCTTTAATAACAAGTGAATTATAAAAATCATTAAATTGTTCTTAAATTGAAAATAAAGTAGGATGTTTATAATTAAAAACAAAAGATTAAAATTGTAGATATTATGATAATAAATGTTAAAACGAAAATATTTAAGATTATAAAAATAGTAAATGTAGAGATATAATTATGATAAATTCATTTGAATTTTGTGAATAAACAAGAGATATAGAATGTAAATATGATCCATTAAATAATGCTTGTATTTATGCAAATTTAGAATAATAAGATTTAACATGTCCAAGAGGATTAAATAAATTAGCATGTATACCTAATAATTCAAATTCTAAATAATGTTAATTCTTTAATTATTGTTATGGTTAAAATTAAGATATATTAGATTGTGATATTAATGATATTGAATGTTGTTAAAAAGCATTAACTATTGAATCTTGTTTATTTTAAACTAAATTTAAATGTTAATGGAATAATTAATGTACTCATTATAATTAATAATAATCAAATACAATTTTATGTAATTAAATATAAAATGCATCAAGAAATGTATGTTATTCACTTATTGATAAATTTTGTATTTTTGATTAAATTAATTTAAAATGTTAAGAAATTATTCCATTAACATGTGATTAAGTATAAAGTTAAGAATAATGTAAAAGAATTCCTAAAATACCATGTTATTGGAATTAAAATGAATGTTAATTTAAAAATAATAATATTTCAGATTCATGTGAATATATTACTTAAATGCATGGTAATTAAAAAGCATGTATTTAAGTATAAAGATATGGATAAATGTGTGCTTTTATTGATTATTAATGTTAATCATTCATTGAAATCTAAAATTCTAATAATTGTCTTGATTACATCAATCAAAATGCATGTTTATAATAAANAACAACTTAAACACAGCTTTCTACTTTAGATTGTAAAGACTATTTAAATTATTACACATGTGTAAACCTATAAACACCATTATAATATTGTTAATATATCAATAATATTTGTTATGAAAAAGATTGGTTTACATACTAAAATTAGTCATGTAAAACAATAAAAAATATCAATCATGGTAATTTTTGTTAAGTTACTACTGATATTGGTTGTAAATATGATATAAATACTAAAAATTGTGTAGAAGTAATTGATGGTGAGATTATTTAATGTTAAATTGGAAGTTTATACCATATTGGATATAATATTATAGCATGTGGTAAGAGTCAAAATTGTATATTTATTGATAAATGTCAATAATTTGATGAAAATAATTTATATTATTGTTAATAAGCTATTTCTATAGAAAATTGTAAAAATGTATTATTAGAAGGATGTTATAGAAATTCTTAATAACAATGTTCTTTAATAACAAGTGAATTATAAAAATCATTAAATTGTTCTTAAATTGAAAATAAAGTAGGATGTTTATAATTAAAAACAAAAGATTAAAATTGTAGATATTATGATAATAAATGTTAAAACGAAAATATTTAAGATTATAAAAATAGTAAATGTAGAGATATAATTATGATAAATTCATTTGAATTTTGTGAATAAACAAGAGATATAGAATGTAAATATGATCCATTAAATAATGCTTGTATTTATGCAAATTTAGAATAATAAGATTTAACATGTCCAAGAGGATTAAATAAATTAGCATGTATACCTAATAATTCAAATTCTAAATAATGTTAATTCTTTAATTATTGTTATGGTTAAAATTAAGATATATTAGATTGTGATATTAATGATATTGAATGTTGTTAAAAAGCATTAACTATTGAATCTTGTTTATTTTAAACTAAATTTAAATGTTAATGGAATAATTAATGTACTCATTATAATTAATAATAATCAAATACAATTTTATGTAATTAAATATAAAATGCATCAAGAAATGTATGTTATTCACTTATTGATAAATTTTGTATTTTTGATTAAATTAATTTAAAATGTTAAGAAATTATTCCATTAACATGTGATTAAGTATAAAGTTAAGAATAATGTAAAAGAATTCCTAAAATACCATGTTATTGGAATTAAAATGAATGTTAATTTAAAAATAATAATATTTCAGATTCATGTGAATATATTACTTAAATGCATGGTAATTAAAAAGCATGTATTTAAGTATAAAGATATGGATAAATGTGTGCTTTTATTGATTATTAATGTTAATCATTCATTGAAATCTAAAATTCTAATAATTGTCTTGATTACATTAATCAAAATGCATGTTTATAATAAACTATATCATAATGTTATTGGGATATAAATGTAAATAATGATAGTAATTCTTCAGATAATTAATGCAAGTCTTTTGAATAATAAGATTCATAAAAATGTGAAAAAAATCTCAGCTATTTATCCTGCTTAAGCATTATAACAAATAATACTTATTGCTAATGGATAAATGAATAATGTGAGTCAATTACAAGTGATATTAATAATAAATTTGTTTTGAATACTACTTCACAAGTCAATATTCATGTTTGTAGTTTAATTACTGATACAAAACCTATTATGTATAATAAAATCAATAAAATATGTTAAGAAGTAACTGATTTTGATAAATTAACTTGTAATCCTCCTTTAATGGGAATTAATATGTACTCTTGTATTTAAATAAAAAATGAATTATGTTTTTGGCATTAAAAAACTTAAACTTGTAAAGCAATAATAAATTTAAAGAATAAGATTGCTAAATAAGAAGAACTTATTTAGACCACTTGTTAAATAATAGGACGTACTCCAACATCTTGTTCTCTATTGAATTTTTAAATGCCTTGTGGGGGATCTTAAGTAGGTTGTGATTATGTTAATTTAGAGACAGCTTAATGCAATTAAGTAGGTTTAAATAAATATGCATGTCTAAATTTAACTAGTTAATCATGTAAATGGGTTTTAAATTAAAAACTTAATATTTATTAATGTTAAGAACATACTCCTTTTGGTTTATGTTCTGAATAACCATAATAAGTAAATGCATTAGTATGTTCTTTGGTTGGTCATAATGATCCATGTACTTATAATAAATATTCAAATTCATGTTAATGGCCATTAGAATAGGAAGAAAGTTGTGATATGATTGGATTAAATTAATATGGTTGTGCTTAGATTGAGAATTGTGTATTTTTTAATGGAAAATGTATAAAATTCAATGAAGATTTAAATTTGAATTGTAAAGATGCAGATAAAGCTCATTATAAGGTTTGTGCATAAATAAAAAGAGATTAATGTAAGTATAGTGAATTAAAAAAAGGATGTATATCTACTGATTTATATGATGGATGTTAAGCAAAAGGCATAAATTAATTAGGATGTAATGCAAAAGATCCAATGTGTTCTTGGGTTGAAAACAATTGTGAGTGTGTAAAATTATTAAAAGAGAAAATACCTTGTTATCAAATTTAAAATCATTATGATTTTTAAAAAAGGAATGATTGTTATTATGTTAATTCTTATAAATCAAATATTGATACAGATCTAATAACATTAGGAAATTAAGGTAGATGCAAAGAAAAGTAATGTAGTGATAGGAGTAAAAGTGAATGTGAAGGTTAAATAGTTTATGGACATATTTGTTATTTAGATAAGTAAGATATATGTTAATCAGCTCATGATTGCAAGGATATTAAAAATGCTGTATAATAATGTTCAAATTATTTAATAAAAGATAGTCCTTGTATGGAGAATATAAATAATGTTGGTGAATGTGAAATATTAAAAAATTGTTAATAATTAGATATGATTAATTGTTAAAGGAATCTAGATTATTGTATTTATAATAGTGATAAATGTATGAATAAATAATGTATAAATTATATGGATGAGAATAATTGTCCTAAATTAAATTGTTATTGGAATTATATTAAGAAAAGATGTTTAGAACAAATTAGTTGTGAATTAAATGAATCAGAAAAAGTTTGTAATGAAAGTCATAATGGAAATTAAAAATGTGGATGGTTTAAATTAGATGAAAATTAACATGTTTGTACATCTGGATGTAGATATCTATATTAAGCTTCTGTTAATTGTTAGGGTACTCAAATTAGAGATTCTGTTTGTATTAATTATAAAGATGTTTGTATTCAATGTGAAGAAATTACAGATTCATGTCTTTGTTTGGAATAATAGGAATATTGTACTTATGATATTAATAGAAATATATGTTAATCTAATGGATGTTAAAATTATAATTAGGATACTTGTCCTACTTTAAGATGTTATTTTAATTTAAATAAATATGTAATTAATTTTAATTTATTCATAGATTTGCATACAATAATGTAGATTCAGATACAATAATTAGGAATGTGAACTATTGAATGATTGCTATTGGGATTATATAGAAAACTAATGTCTTGAATATTACAAAATTCCTTAACCTACAGTAGTAAATCCTTCAATTATTCCAATAGAAGAATTATTAATCAAAGCTCTTTTAGTATTTAGTTTATTAGGAATAATATGAGAGTTTTATCAATTTATATAATATGAAGCATAAACATTACATACAAATAAAATATTCAATTTCTTATCAGGATTATGATTAATCCTCCTCTTTGTACATATCTTATGATTCTTATTACATCATATTTGTTAAATTAGAAAAAGCACTTTAATATTGTGTTTTTATAATATTTTCTATTACTGGATTTTTTAAAGCTTCAAATAAAGCTGCCTTTAATTTAGAATTATCAAACTCTAATAATTTAACCTAAAATATTCTCTAATGTATTACTTTTTTATTTATTTTTTCATATTCTTATTAAAGTGGTCCAATCTTCTCTAATGCTTCTCTCTTTCTTTTTTATGCTTCTCTTGCACTATCTCTATTTCTCTTTATGCATTAACATCTTTTACAATTACAAAATTCATCTTCTTTACTTCTACATTTATTCTTTATTTTTTCTATCAATCTAGCATAATATTCCAAAGGATTTTTTTATGGTTCTTCAGATCTATAATATATTAATAATTATTTTACATTTTATTTTCCAATACTATTTAGATAATTGAATTTTCTATTCTTACTAAATCCACAAACATAAATAAGATTTTTTAAAGTTTTTCATCTAATCTATTAGAATTGAATATAAATTCTTTGCAATCTATTTATTAAGAATTCAAGAATAATCCATTTAATAATTACTCAATCACTTACTTTTGATCACAATTCTAGTATATTTTAATTATATTCAAGTACTAAATACAATAATTTAATTATTATACCTTTTCAGCATGATGCTCAAAATTTCCATTTACATTAAATTATTTTTAATTCTCAATTATTTACTCAATTAGATTTGATTAATGAAAATATTAATTACTTTTTTAAAACATCTTTTCTAAAGATATCTAACAAGATTATTTAGTCATTGTATTCTTGTCTTCTTCACATAAAAATTTGTATAAAAATTCATCTGATCTATTTTCTTATCCCAATAAATCATTTAAAGTTTAAAAACTTATCTATTGAGCATTTCCACTCTCACTTTAAGTATGTAATTTCTTGAATATCACTTTCCTTATTATACTACTAAATAATAAAGATTGACTAATAATTCCAATTTAAGAATCTATATAAAAATTATAATCAATACCATTTGTACAACATATATCATTTGCTCCAAGACAAACTAACTTTTTACTGATTAATTCACATATCAAATCCCATTGCTTTTAATCTATAACAATTGAATTTGGATCCTTTATATAATTCAATGTGATTTCATCTTAATCTGAAGAACATTATTTCATTAGATATATAAATATGTTAGCTATATATTTAGCCAAAATAGGCATTTTAGATGATGGAATAGAGTCTTTTATAGAAATCTATATTCCTTTTTATAAAATCTGTTCTAACAATTATCTTATTTTTTATTGTAAAATGGCATTCTAGTTTTAAGTACCACTTTATAATTTCAATAATTGTGCCTACATGATCTAATTTTGTGCTTGAATTAACATAAATTATTAAACACTATACACTTAAGACTATATTATTATGAAATTATATACCATATAAGAGATATAGGAATCTATTTTATCAGTTGGAATGCTTTGATTAACATTTAGAGGTAAGAATGGTTTCATTCAATTTTTGTTTTTATTTATTGTAAAATTTTTAAACTTATCCAACTATATCAACTCAAATTAATACGTATTACGAATAATTTTAATTAGAAAAATGAAAAATTTTAAAGATTATTTCATATTTGTAATCAAATATACAATTAATTTTGTAAAATCACTAATTAAATTTTATTTGTGCTTAACAAACAACCTCCCTTTTCTATCATAAATAAAATTAAATCAAATATCTCATATTTAATAATCTTATTTAATTATTCCACAAACAGAACCATTAAATTCAAAATTGTACACAATTAAAATTGTTATCAAATTTTTATTCATTAAACAATTTTAATTTCATAATTTATATAATTATTATTCATTAAATAATAAAAAGATCAATTATATTACATAAAAACCTAATAAAACATACCATTTATTAATCTATATGAAATAATCCATGTTCCTATTAATAATAAACCATAAATTCATCTTCAATATATAAAATAATAATAATAAACTTATTCAATCAAATAATATATTTATTTAAATAAATTTAAGAAATACTTATCCTTTATATTGTTAATTATTTACTAATTTACATAATCATTATAAAAAATTATATTTTATAATAATAATCAGATCAATATTGGAAAGTCCTTAATTTATTATTAATAATCTTGTCAAAATATCAACAGTTAGTAATTTTTGAATTTTAAGAATTACTCAAACTTAAAAAAGGTTTAGATATATGAGGAAGGAATTTGAATTAAAAAAGAAATATTAATCAATTATTATTCTTTCATAGTTTAATTTTTAGAAAATTAATTACACAAAGATGAAACACAGTTAAAATAACCCTTTTTATAGCCAAATTTGAATATCTAGTTATATATTACTATATGAGAAATATTTAAATTTAAAGAAAAATCTGAAAATTTATATGAGTATTTAAAAAGTAGAGGTTAGAGTGATAAAAGAAATTACTACAATTATAATTCATTCAACTTTCATTATTAATATAATAATTAGAGTTGAAAAATATAAGAAATATTAAATTAAAGAAATAAGTAAAATAAATAGTAAAATTGATATAATTGAGAGATTAAATAACTTAATATATAGATATAAGAATGAACTAATTTAGAATATTAATAAAATATATATTAATCAAAATATGTTTCTTTTTGCTATATTGATGGGTCTTCTTTAGATATCTTAATCTTTTGATAAACCTGCAGTTCTATCAGTTTATGAGTATCCACTAAATGCTGAAAATCTCTATTTTTATTCAGTCTAATATAAGGGTTTAGATGTAATATTTTATATGTTGGTAACATTGGTTTAATTTGATGAGGCAGCAATTCTAGAATTTTGAATTGTCCCTTGATTAATTTAAAATTGATTATGACTTTGTAAATAATCTGCATTTTATTTTCCAAAGATTATATGATTAGGTTTATTAGATCCATTTTGCTAATCATGTTACCAACTAGCTAAAACTACATATTGCATTTGTTCAGTTTCAACATGTTCTTCTTCAGATTATGGTTAACTTTCGTTTTAATATTGATTATCGGATTAACAGGTTCCCATTATTTAAGAATAAAAGTAAATAAATTTTATCAATTAATTAGTAAATAATGATAATTTTCATATTAAAGCTTTAAGTTTAGTAATTGTATTATTGAACCAAGGAATTTCTTTCAAAATTACTGGTGTTAAAGCAGTTCTGAAAGTGAGATCCATAATATTTTGATAAATGATAACTTCTGTATGATTAAGTTATATTTATTTCATTAAAATAAGACTCATTTTTTAACCTAAATTCTTATAAATTTATAGTACCTTTTTGATCGCATTTTAATTTATAGTGATTTGGTAATTATTTCGTATTTGGTACAATAGTGATTTGATATGTTGAATCATCAATTTTAATAATTTCTTAATCACTAACAAAAGCCATTTTTTTAAATGTAGATTTATCTTCCCAAACATAGTATTCTACAATAATACTTTTATTTTCATTAATTTATTCTATAATATCCTTTTATATCATTCCATGAAACCATTATTATTTAAAATCAGTAAATATTTTAATGGCTTTATCAATTGAACAATCAATTGGATGAATAGTTTTAACAAATTAACCTTATAGATGATACATTATATGTCGTTCACATTCTTTTTATAATTATGAATGAATATACCCTAAACATATTTCCAATTTAAATTCATTTAACTTATTTCTATTAATTAATCAAGTGTAGGATCCTATTCTAATATAGCATGTTCAATTGAATTAGATTTAGTAGGCAAGAATTCTTATAAGTTTTCATTACTATCTTTTAATTATTTAACTTCTTCATTCATTTTATTTAAGTAAGTTTAAACATAACAATCATATTCTCTAATAGCTTCATCATCAACTAATAAATAAGTAATCATTTAATTTTTCAATTAATTTTATTAAATGTATTTATGTAAAATCATTAATGAATCTTATTTACATAATTTTTGTTGTCCACATATATGAGATTATATTTTCATTGTTCTAAATTATTTAATACTAATTTCACTTAATAATTTAATTGCTTATTCAGCATCTATATAATTTTAAGATATTACTTGGATTATAATCATATTCTAATATTTTTCTAAAGAACTAGAATCCATTAATACAACTAATATGACTTTACATATCATTAGTTTAAATGGAGAGCATTTACATAATTCCTTATAGTTCTCTTTCATCATCTCCAATTAATAATACTTTTAATAGTAATGGAGATATCTACTAAATTTTACCAAAATAATATTTCTCCATCTTTCTAAGATTATTATATTCAATAATTTACTAAAATATTTTGCATCTTTCATTAATTGTTTCATTTAATTTCTATAAATAATGAAATATCATTTATTCAGCTTAATTATTCGGTTATATTTTTTTTGGACTTATATCTAAAAGATCACATAAAGCATTTTCATCTTTACTAAATTAATGCATTTTAACATTTTGATCAAAACCCCCTTTCTAAAATTACTCTATTTATTATGTTATATAAATACATTTAATTTTAAGAAAATCCAAAAATACATATAATGTATGATCTAAATGTTGTAACAAATATTATAAAAATTCTAATATAAATCAATAATTATACTTTCAAGCATTTCTTATCTTTTTGCAATTGTTTTTCTAGAATTTGTTTAAATAACTTTTTTTGAAGGGAACTTAGGCATTTCTCTTTAAGAAATTGGTATCTAAGTTTCATTAAATTTATTTACTTATTCATATAATTTCTCAAATTCAGAATATCTTTTTGGAATTGTATAATCAAAATAATCTGTTCTTATTTAAATTACATAATTCACAATATGATTTTTAAA